GCACGGCGGGCCGGGGCCTTTGTGTGAGCCGGCGGCGGCGATGGTGCTCGGGCCCCGCGGAGCCGGGTAAGCGCGGCCGGGAGAGGGCTGCCCCTGGCCGAGCCCGACTCCGGCCCGGCCTTTCTGTCCCTCGCGGGCCCCAGCCTCTCGCCCAGCGCCTCCGGGCCGCCCGGCCGCGGTTCCGGGGCCCCCTTTCCGCGCGCTCCCGGCGCCTGGCCTGGGGTCGCAAGGGGGGTACCCCGCATTGTTCAGGGAGATCTGAGGTACCCCCTCGCACTGTGGTGTGCTCCAGCCCAGTCCCGAGCCCTGCCCTCGCTCATCCCACCCTCAGGAGGGGAGATCAGACCCCTGGGGTACACTCCTCGGAAGTTCCAAACCCTCCGGTTCCACGGGCTCTGAGGCTGCCCAGTGCGGACCCTCCCACCGTGGATGAGTGGCCGCCAGGGCCCGAGAGATGCGTGGTTGGTACCCAACAATATTCAAAAGAGTGCTGGGCCCCAGAAAAGTTGGGAATTGGTGAGATGAAAAAAGGGGCTGTGTTGCTCAGGCCGAGGCATGAGCCGAGAACCATGCAATTAGGTGTTCTGAGGTGTGCAGGAATCCAGAGGGGGTGGGGAAAGTGGTACTGAAAAGGCTTCTATGAGTCTTATGTAGTAGATGTCTTTCTTAAGGCATCCAATTGTTAGTATAAGGTCAACATAAACATAAACCCCGAGGAGGCTGATACAAAGAAATAAAGCATATCTCCGTAGTGTTCAATACCACAGTTGTGTTTCACTTTGCTTGCTTCTTTGGTTATGAGTTTCGCTTCATCCACAGACTGTAGTAATGTGAGAAAGCATTTGGAATAGCTTTGGGCTGTACAAGGGCCAAAGAATAAATAACATTAGATAGGGAGAGATAGAGGTTCAAGAGTGTGAGATTTTGACCTGGGTGTGACTGCTTATGCCTGCAAGTTAGCACTTGGGAGGATCAGGAGTTCAAGGCCATCCTTGGCTACAGAGCGAGTTTGAAGCCAGGCTGGGCTGCATGAGACCCTGACTCAAAAAAATAAGACACACATACACACACACACACACACACACACACACACACGAGTGTGAGAGTTATTTAGAGGCTGAAAGGACATGGCAACGCCTGAAAACTAAAAGTGCAACTCTTATCACTTCCTCAGTCACTAATGAGCTTTGATAATGATGATCAAGTACTTTTATGGCCTTTGGCATTATAAGGGGGAGAGAATAGACTTAATGACAAAGGAGAGTTTTAGGAAGAATTAATAAAGAAATTTGAACCTGCTATTTTGGTAATGTAGAAAATCGTGTTCAATGGAAGGTCTTCCACTGAGTTTGAAGGTTCTAGTTTAATGCCTACTACCTCCTCTTTTTTTTTTTTTTTTTTAACACAATTGGCTTTGTAGCCCAGGCTTGCTGGAGCTCCTGATACTCCTGCCTCAGCCTTTCAAGTGTTCAAATTATAGGTATGTGCTACTACTACACCTGGTGTCTTAGACATTGAAAAATTTAAAAATACATATTTTATATGTATGAGTGCTGCTTACATTTATGTATGTATGTGTACCATGTGTGTGCCTGGTGCCTGAGGAGCAAGAAGAGGGCATTGGATCCCCTAGAACTAGAGTTAGTTTTTTGTGAGCCACCATGTGGATCCTGGGAACCTAGACTGGGTCCTTCACAAGAGCAGCCAGTGCTCTTTACTGCTGGACCATCTCTCTAGCCTCTTAGACTTTTAAGACCTAGCTAATTTGATTTTTTTCACTCCTTTTGGATTTTGTCATGACTCTGCAGTTGTGCATATGCAGGGAGGAGAGCATTCTCTCCCCATCGTTGCTATCTTTGGCCTCAGTGTCCCTTGTCCATTCATTCCTACTCAGCTTGGATGCATTCAGAATGGTGGTATTTTCTCCTGTAGAGAGCCCTTCTTTTTCAGATGTTTGGCTATCCATCTTTTTGTCTTGTCTACAGATTGACCTTGCTGATAAAGAGGCAACTTAATAGGAGCTGCTAAGATGGGCATGAGGATCAAACTGCAAAGCACCAACCACCCCAACAACCTGCTGAAGGAACTCAACAAGTGCCGGCTATCAGAGACCATGTGCGATGTCACTATTGTGGTGGGGAGCCGCTCCTTTCCAGCTCACAAGGCCGTGTTGGCCTGCGCAGCGGGCTACTTCCAGAACCTCTTCCTAAATACTGGGCTTGATGCTGCCAGAACCTATGTGGTGGACTTCATTACTCCTGCCAACTTTGAGAAGATTCTGAGCTTTGTCTACACGTCGGAACTCTTCACAGACCTGATCAACGTTGGCGTCATCTATGAGGTAGCTGAGCGTCTGGGTATGGAGGACCTCCTCCAGGCCTGTCACTCCACTTTTCCTGACCTAGAGAGCACTGCTGTGGCTAAGTCCCTGACCACCTCCAGTGACAGCCAGTCTGGTACCCTGAGTTGTCCTTCAGCAGATCCCACCCATCCCCTTGGAGAACTCCGGGGTGGTGGGGAACACTTTGGTCCTGATAGAAACTATGTGTTGCCTAGTGATGCTGGAGGAAGCTATAGAGATGAAGAGAGGAATGTTACCAGTGACACTAACCATAGCTTGCCTCTGCCACAACCACCGTTGCCACCAAAGACAGAAGACCATGATGCCCCTGCTCAATTCACATCTGTTCCCAGTATGATGACCCAGCCAGTCCTTGGCACTGTCAGCACAGGCATTCAGACCAGTACGAGCTCTTGCCAGCCATACAAAGTTCAAAGCAATGGAGACTTTAGCAAAAACAGCTTTTACACCTCTGACAATGCCATACTCATTACAACTGGGACCAATTCCTGTCTGAGCAATAGTGACCACTCCAAAGATCCAGGCTTTGGGCAGATGGATGAGCTCCACCTGGAGGACCTGGGGGATGACTTGCAATTTGAAGACCCCACTGAGGAGATTGGAACGGCTGAGGAGGTGATTGAGCTGAGTGATGACAGTGAGGATGAACTGACTTTTGGTGAGAATGACAACCGGGAGAATAAGGCCATGCCCTGCCAGGTATGCAAGAAAGTTCTAGAGCCCAACATTCAACTGATTCGGCAGCATGCTCGGGACCATGTGGACCTGCTCACAGGCAACTGCAAAGTCTGTGAGACCCACTTCCAGGACCGAAACTCTCGAGTGACCCATGTCCTGTCGCACATTGGTATTTTCCTCTTTTCTTGCGACATGTGTGAAACAAAGTTCTTCACCCAGTGGCAGCTAACCCTGCATCGACGGGATGGGATATTTGAGAACAACATCATTGTCCACCCTAATGAGCCCTTGCCTGGGAAACTGGGTCTTTTTTCTGGGGTGGCCTCCCCAGAGTTGAAATGTGCTGCTTGTGGAAAAGCATTGGCCAAAGATTTCCATGTGGTCAGAGGCCACATCCTCGACCATCTGAACTTGAAGGGCCAGGCCTGCAGCGTCTGTGACCAGCGCCACCTCAACCTTTGCAGCCTCATGTGGCACACACTCTCCCATCTGGGCATTTCGGTCTTCTCCTGTTCTGTTTGTGCCAGCAGCTTTGTGGACTGGCACCTTCTAGAGAAGCACATGGCTGTGCACCAAAGCCTGGAGGATACCCTCTTCCGCTGCCACGTGTGCACCCAGAGCTTCAGGTCTGAGGCTGCCTACCGCTACCACGTCAGCCAGCACAAGTGCAACAGTGGCCTGGATGCGCGGCCTGGTTTGGGGCTACAACACCTAGCTCTCCAGAAGCGGAAGCTACCGGCAGAGGAGTTTCTGAGTGAGGAGCTGGCTCTGCAGGGCCAACCTGGGAACAGCAAGTATAGCTGCAAGGTCTGTGGCAAAAGGTTTGCCCACACAAGCGAGTTCAATTACCACCGGCGGATCCACACGGGTGAGAAACCTTACCAGTGTAAGGTATGTCACAAATTCTTCCGAGGCCGCTCAACCATCAAGTGCCACCTCAAGACACACTCCGGAGCGCTCATGTACCGCTGCACAGTCTGTGGCCACTACAGTTCCACTCTTAACCTCATGAGCAAACATGTTGGTGTGCACAAAGGCAGCCTCCCGCCTGACTTCACCATTGAGCAGACCTTCATGTACATTATCCATTCCAAAGAGGCTGAAAAGAACCCGGACAGCTGACTGGGTCTCAGCAGAGCCAGAGGGAGCTCCCAGGTGGCAGCCGGGATGGTGATTTTCTGAAGGCTGTTGGTCCCTCCCCAGCTGAAGCTAGTTTTGCCTTGCTAAGAATTCTGTATTGTGTTGAAAGAAGAAATAGCACATACACTGTTACTGTTTTTGAGAAGCAGCAGCCCTATGACATTTACCTCCATACCTGTTCTTGCCCCCAAAGGGCTGCATTCTCCATTCTTTTGAGGCTGGTTTTAGGATCTAGTCAACAGTTCTGTCAACTAGATCCCCTTCCCCAGGCTCTCTAGTTTTAGTTTACTGCTAGGTTTTATGCTGCTAAGAATCCAACTAACAGCCTCACTGGATAGAGGAGGTAGAGAAGGTCTCACTATGGGTATTACTGCCAGACCTCCAACTGTGAGACGGGTTAGGGAATGTCATTCAGAAAGGACTGGTCATCAGGGCAGCTCACCTTGGGTTCCCACACCAGTCCTCAGCAGGGGCAAGGTGTCAGAAGCAGAGGGGGCTGTGTGTTTCAGGGCCCTAATCTGCTGATTGGGCAGTGAAAATCTCTTGGCAGCTAGATACAAACTGAGGACCAAGCTTTCTGTTTAGGTTGGAAAGCTTTGAATGTCCCATGGTGCCACCAGATGGGGCAGCCCGGATGGCTAGATGAAGTCTCCTCTTTTCTCCCCATTTCCAAAGAAACAGGATTTTATAGAGTGGTGACCCAGGACATCAGGCAGAGAGGACAGAGCCACTTTAATATAGTCATCTGTTATCTGGCCACCTCTCTAACCTTGAGTTTCCTGGTGGAGGAGGGGACGTCCTGACAGCAGCAGCCTTGCCTTAATTTACATCCAGTTTCCCACCCAAGGTGTTTTGATTGACAGTGTAGATGAGAAAGCCCTGGGAGGTGGTGTGGTGGACCATGAGCCCTTCAGGATTAAAGGGGCCTGAGGAACTGGTGGTCTGTAGCAGGGTGTGCATTTTGACTGTCCCAGTTGGTAAGCTGTTGTTTACTTTGTGGTAACAGTGTAGGAGCTTTGGCAGCTCACCTTTGACCTGCTGGAATTGATCTGGATCTGTCATTGCATCACCTCCAGGGGCACTGTTGAATGACAGCTGGTTCAGGCCCTCCATGTGGCTGTATGGCTCCATTCTTTGAAGGAGTCTTGCCCAAAGAAGGCTGGAGGAGAGGACCCTTGATCTTGCATACTTACTTATCAGGTGGCACTTCAGTTGCTCGTACTACCTCACCCTGCTCAGGTGAGCTCTGGGAGTCCCTAGCCTTGGGCCCAGCCACCGACACTGCCCCTGGTGGGACTCAGCAACACCCCAGGCTGTTTCATAAGCAAGTGATTTTAATTAACTCACAAAGCCTTTTTAGACATTAATATTTATTTATTTTTTGTTGTTTTGGTATACATATTACCCAGCATCTCTTTTAGATAAGAGACTTCAGGAAAATGAGTTTCTTTTAAGCAAGTAGCCATATTCCAACAGATGTTGTGGCTGTGGATTTTGAGAACAGGGGTATGATTATGTAGAATGTGCCAGGCCTTTTAAACAAGCACATTTTCTTCTCTCCCGGTATAGTCTCTAGCAGAATAGATCCAGGGGCCCTTTAGGCAACTGGTGTAATTTCTAAAAAGTTGGGACAATTGAGTTCCCAGACCTTTCATTACCCTTCCATCCTGTGATGGGATAAATTGGAGCTGAGGTGAGCAGATCGGGCCATGTAAGAGCCTTTTGCAGTTTCTTACAAGACACGGGCAAACCAAAGCTCTATCTCTCCTGGGCCTGCTGCCTCTCTCCCTAGCTTGAAACAGAGAGCCTTTGAATTGGTGCACAGAGCACTCTGATGGGCTCAAATGATGAGACTGGGACAGTGGCCAGTCAAAGGCCACCTTTCACCATGTAAACTCAACTTGGGACATTTTCATCAGGAAATTATTGCTGAGACTTTTCGTTCTTTACTGCCTACTTTCTTACACTGATCATTAGGGATTTAAGAAGGGCTTGTCTAACAGACTATAGTTATGTATCTGCTGAGCTTTCCAAGCATGGGAGATCCTCCCTGGACTGGTAGTGAGGAGTGAATACTGAATGGTTGATGTGAGAGAGGTGGTACTTACTGGAGCCCAACCAGGTAGCTGAGTGAAGAAACCCCTTTCCTTAACACAGCATTATGGATGCTGGGTGGTCTGTATACTTAACCTGAAACTGTGAAGTTTTCCCTTTTTGCCAGTAAACCAAAAAGTAGATCTTTGAAGTTTTGCCCTTGAAACACTAAACAAAAGACTGTAGCCTCTGATCCTCTGAGGCTAACACTAACTGGTTGATCAGGGAGGCCTAGTTGGTTCCCAGTCAGACATGTAGCAAGCAGAATCAGTAGCTCATGAGGCTCACTGATCACACCTTGCCTCTTTGGGTATCCCCCACTCTCACACCTGTCTCCCCTTCCATATGAAGTTGTGTTTGCGTCCTCTGCTGTTAGCTCACTCTTCTCTTGAGTTGGTTTACTTGAAACAGTACATGGTAGCAAAGGACACTCAAGGATACCTGATGGAAGGTACTCATTTTATTTTGCATTTTTAGTTTTCCAACTGAATGTCCATTTGCTTTTGTTGCCTTGTCCCTCTTGGATCCTCATAGAACTATCCTCTGCTGTATTGCTATGGAATTCTGTTTGACCTTTGAATGTTCTGTCTTTGCCCCTTTTTCATTTTTCTTGGTCTGTACTCAGGACCAGCTTCATAATTTGAAGAACCCCCTTGTTCACCAATTATTAGGAATTTCCAGTTGGCTATTTATAGAGCATTAAGCCAAACTTGGGGCCATTCCCAGCTTATTTCCTAAGGGGAAATGGCAATGTTGGTGTGGCATGCTGGCATAAATAGCATGGGCTGCTTGTGGCCAGAGGACAGGATGTATCCTTGCATATTGGTGACCCCTGATGCCACAGACTGGCCAGAAGCTCTGCCAAGTGAACCCTAGTTCACTTGGTTCTAAGTTTTGAGACTTCATGGGTCCTTATAGTTCATGGCAGTTGGGAAGAGGTAAGGTGGAGGGTGGGGCCAGGTAACCCTAAGAACCAGGAACAGGTGAGAGTTGACTTTATTGTGATCTATCAGCAACCCTCTGTAGGGCAAACCTGTGAGCTTCAATACCTTTTACTTAGGCAGGATTTTGCTACTGATCGTTTCCTTTTTTAGCTTCCTGCTGTGCCCTGTCCTTCAGACCGAGACTACTCAACTTTGAAAGTGAACTTAAATCCCTTTATAGATGGACACTGAATTTGTTGGCTTGAGAGTAGGCCATATGGAGTGGTCTCTGCCGTTCTGGGAGTACTTACCTGTCTTCTCCCTTAAATCCTGTACTGAGTGAGTCAGAAAGCAGGGTGTACAACATTAGTTTCAATGTGATTATATGTCATAAACAACATCAGAATGAAAACGAAAGTTTTGATTATGATGTTTTAACACCTTCCCCCACCCTCCCCCCACCTCTAATAGCTAAAGCCCCTTATGAAGCGGAGAAGAGCTGTTGCCATCTAACTCCTTCCATTAAATTAAGAAGTACTGACCTCTTAATATTTAAGTGTTTACTATCTATTGCTGTAAAGTTTTGTATATTTTGTAAACCTTTTTTTCCCAAATAGTAGATGTCTAAAATCGTTGTACATCTGATTCTTTTATATTCCATTGTTCAGCAAAAAGTGTGGTTTTTTATTTAGAATAAAAAAAAAAATTGAAGTGGGAGTTCTCTTCCTCTGCCCCATGCACATGCTCATAGCTTGAGTTCAGACATCTGGGCTTTGCCTGCTCATGTTGGCCCAGTAGGTGCCAGAATTTTTTCAGGCAACACATTTTCTTTTCCTGTAACTGGAATTCCCCAGGATTAGTTTGTTGGCTGTTTTTTAGTAGGAAATTAAATCAAAGACCCAATGTTTTCAGGGGGACATCCCTCCTGAGGTAGACTGCCAGCCTGTAGAGGACAGTGGGCCTCTGCAGATGTCTAGCTGACTCAATGTTAGGATGCAAGCGATCTAGCCATTGCTACTTCATGGTGAGTGGAGAAAGGCAGATGGAAAGGGGAGAGGAAGGGTCAAATAAAAAGGAGACAGAGATTTGGCATCAGTAAGGTCAGTGCCAGTGTGCTTGCACAAAAGACACAAGCTTGTGGTCCATATGGTCCCAAAACACCTAAGGAGACCTGGCTGTTGGTAAATGTCTGCTGAGCAGGACAGCCTTGTCAGTATGGCTAGTTTTTGCATATCCCTTCCATGAGCGGAAAGGCCCCTAGGGAGAATCCTACTGCCAGGGTGATAACTGGTTTCAGGGAAGTGACTGATACGGTGACCTGAGTTGTGACAGTTGTAAAATTGGATTTTTTTTTTTTTTTTTCAGAGCAGAGCTCAAGTCAAATCAGGGATATGGGCATCAGGACTTAGCTTACTTTATAAATGGGGACAGGGAAGAAAGTCTTTTTCATGCAATTTCTGCATTATTTGGTTAAATCTTTACTGTACTCCCAGCTATAGCCAAGACTCCTGGGTCAGGAAGACTTCAGCTCTACCACCAAGTAGCTATCTTTAGCTTAAGACCCATTCAACACTGGGACCAGTGAGCAGGGGCAATGAACTGCCAATGCTGGTTTCCCTCCACACATTTGATAAACCTGGGGTACATGCACCACTGGAGCACGTGCAGAATGTGTCTGCTAAGTATAGGTTGAGATTTCTAAAAGCAGAAATGGCCTCTGGATGAATAGTTGTTCCAAGCTAAAACATTCCAGGGTGAGGAGAGGTGGTTGTTGGCAAAGTGCCAGTCACACAAGCATGAGTACCTGAGTTTGAATGCCTAGCACCCATGTAAAAGGTAGCATGGTGGCACACATTTGTAACTTTAGTGCTATTGAGATCCTGGGGGGTGGGCAGAAACAGGCAGATCCCTGGAGCTTGCCGACCAGCCAGTCTAGCCAATTAATTGATGACCCTGTCTCAGAAGATAAGGTAGAAAGCAATTAAAGGCAGATGATACCGACCTTTGGCCTCCATATACACATTCATACATGTGCACATATACCTACTTGTACCTGTGTACACACAAGCATGCACTCATCACATACATGCACACACACCCACATTTCAGGCACACCGTGCTGGTGAGCAGAGTCTGCTCCTGGAATGGTTGTATCCTCTGATATTTTCCTATAATCTGGAGAGAAAGGGTTAGATGAAGGTGGTGGTGGGATTTCTAGTGGCTCTGTGCCTCCCTGGAAGATAGTGTGTCCTAGCTTCAACGCTGGGAGATCATCCTGAGGAGTGCTGACTATGTGACAGCTCTGCAGGAGGAAGAGCAGGATGGACGGGGGAGGGGAGGGTATCAGAAAGGAAATAGAGTCAGGTTTCCTGGATGGCTGGGGTGGAGAGACTATCCTGCTGACCCAGCTGTAGGGTGCCTGCCTGAGACCGGGCTTGCCCTGGCTGCAGCCACCACCCCCCTCCACTTATCTCACTGAGGATGCACAGCTAGGGAGTGTCCTGCTGAAGCCTCCTGGTTCCTTGGCCTCTGGCCTCTTGTCCTCACAACCTGCATAGTGAGCTGGAAGATCAACAAGCACACAAACAAAAGGAAAGATCTGTGAGGTTCCTGTGGGGTTCATTCTTTCCGGCCAGGGTGATTTATGAAATGAGGGCGTCTGGTTCCCTCTGCAGAGCATCCCTTAGCATCAGCTGCCTTCCTAAGCCCAGCTGGAAGTGCAGAGTCCTCAGAGATTCAGAGCATGACTGTCTATTATTTATTTATTCTGCCTTTTTTTTTCTTTGTGGCTCCCTTAGAACACAAGGACCCAAATGAATGCACACCACCAAGGAAGGACATGATCTCTGTCCCTCCCACACCTCCTTCCTCCTCCCATAGCAACACTTTGATAACTCAGAACTGACCATGAGTGAACCAATCCTCCCTTATTCCCTCCCTTCCCCCTCTAGCCTTTAACATTATGGGAAGAGCCTGGAATCCACCTTAGCTGCAGATGGGATTGCAGTGATGGAGGCAGAGAGGGTGCCTGGAAGTTTAGGTTGTGGTCAGGGTGGAGTCTGCTGCAGTGGGCAGGCTGCCCTCTTTAGTAATGATGATGGAGTGCTGGGTGGAAGAGGAAGAGGAATCCTGTCTTCTTGCCCCGGCCTGGTCCTTTGGAAGGTAACGGACCACAACGCTTAGCAGTCGGTCCCGGAAGCTTGGACTGAGAAAGTTGTAAAGGATGGGGTTGGCAATGCAGTGCAGCATGGAGAAGCAGTCAATGATTTCATAGAAGAAGTACAGCATATGAGCCAGGTGGCAGTGGAGGGAGATGTAGGTGGCATTCAGAGTGAGCAGCAGCAGAGTCACATGGTAGGGCAGCCAGCAGATGACAAAAACCACTATGTAAGCCCACATCAACAGGCAGTGGCGCCTGCCGTTTCCCTGTCCTTGCTTCCGAAGTCGGCAGGCTGTCAGCACATTGAAGATTGCAATGAGAGGGAAGGGCAGCAGGAAGCCCAGGACGGTAGCAGACAGGGCCACGGCCAGGGCCCATGTGCTGTACGTTTCAAAAGGTGCCATGAAGAGGCAGATGGGGTCAGAGTCATCCACTAGCTGGATGTGCACCACCTCAGGCAGTGGGATGATAGCCGAAAGCACCCAGACGCCTGCACATACGGCCCTCCGTACTCGGTGCTGGTGGCGCTGCCAGGAGGGAGAGGCACTGGTGAGAGTGACGTAGCGGTCCACGCTGAGGCATGTGAGGAAGAAGATGCTGCTGTACATGTTAGCAAGGTAGAAGTAATGAGTGAAGCGGCAGGAGAAACTGCCCCAGAGCCAGGTATAGTCCAGCATGACCTCCAGCATCCACACGGGCAGAGACAGGATGATGCCCAGGTCCGCGATGGCCATGTTGAGGATGTACAGGTTCAACATCCCTACCCGGCCTGAGCGGCGCCAGTTGACACATATCACCAGGAGGTTTTCCACAAGCCCTACTACAAAGATGGCCAGGTAGAAGACAAAGAGGACCACTTGTTTGGTGTTCTCGCTGAGTTCCACTTGGCAATCCGAAAAAGTGTGGTTGAAGAAATGGAGCAGTTCCGTCCAGTTGTGTATCACTCCAAAATCATTCTCAGGGGCGGTAGTGGGGTCGGGCCTAGGGCTGGGTTTGACCGACATGAGGACCAGCTAATGCCTGTTGGTAAGAAAGGGAGGGTTTGAAGAGAAAGGAGGTCCCTGAAGGCAGCCTCCCCCTCCCCAATTAAAGGATGAAGGGACAGAAAGGCTATTATTGCGTTCAGACTATGACTTGCTCAAACTTTGACCCAATAGCAGGACTATCAGTGCTATTTGTATCCAACAAGACTTCTTCCCAGCCTTGACAGTCACAGCCTAGCACCAGCCTCAGGTGGTCTCTGACCTCCTCCTGGGACTTCACTCCTTTGGTGCAGGTTTTTATTAAGGGCTCCTGCTCTGTCTTGCTATTTGGTCATAGGTATGGGACATACAGACACACAGGCACATACAGATACACACACACACACACACACACACACACACACACACCTACACCCCTATTTTGCTCCTGGAAAAAAAATCTGAGGTTCCTTCAGAAAAACCATTTGTCTCCAAACCCTGGCTCCCATCTTCCCAGGAGAGGACAGTGCTCACCTGGATTTCCCCTGGGAGCACCTGTCCTCCTGGAGAGCCTGTAGGTGGAGGGCTGTGAGCTGCCAGGAAGCTGAAGAGACAGCTGCTGTGGGGCCGGCTTTGCTGCTGGCTTCAGGCTACCCTGCTTGTCTTCAGGAAGTGGCTGTTACTGGCTGAGGCTCTGTGGGAGAGGGTTGGGATTTTTCCTGTTTTCTCCCAATCCAATTAGAAGGGATGTCCCAGAAGAAGTGTGTGTGTGCATGTGCATGTGTGTGTGCGTGTGTGTGTGTGTGTGTGTGTAGCTGCAAGCATTGAAACCTAGAGGCTTTACTTCCTAGCTGAATGAATTGGCCTTCTTAAGCCTCAGTTCTAGATACCATAGTATCTAGCTTAAAAAAAGGGAGGGGAGGGGGATGGTTATGGAAACTACATGGACCCTGGAGGCAAAGCGCTCAGCCTAGGACTGGTCGTGGCAATGTTTTATATGAATATACAAATGTGTGCTTTCGTCTCTCCCAGTGGCTTGGAGTCTCACTCTCCTTTCTCTTGATTCTTCCTCAAGAAGAACTGGGGCCAAGCTAAAGCATGAACGAAAATCACTCAGGCTTTTAATGAGCTATGGAGTCTCCACTGATTACACTCACCCCCTTTCACCGCCAGGGTTTCTGTGTTGTGATTAGAGCTGAGAATTCACTTCAGATGTCTCCACTGACCGTCTAGACCGCTGTGTGGAGAGGATGAGTTTCTTTGCATTCTTTGGGGCCCAGAGGTTGCCTGTCTTACAGAAGTCACACTGTGTACACGGCAAGAGCCACCTGGACCTGGGTCTGTGTTTTGTAGGCTGCAGATGTGCTGGATGGAAGGAAAAGATATATTCAAGGACCTGAAATTATCATAACAAAATTAGCCAGTTTAAAGATTTATTTTTATTTTTATTTATGTATGTGTGTCTGTGTGAGTGTATGCCACATGTGTTTGGGTCCCCATAGAGGTCAGAAGAGGTTGTTGGATCTCCTAGAGCTGGAGTTAAAGTGGTTGTGAGCTACTCCATGTGGGTGTTGGGAACTGAATTTGGGTCCTCTGGAAAAGCAGCACTCCTAATTGTTGAGTCATCTCTCCAGCTTCCAAATTAGCCATTTGGAGGTGTACATGTAGTTCAGTGGCATTCAGTACACATACACCTCGGTCTAGATCCTAAACGTTTTCATCATCCTCAAAGAAAGCTCTGTACTCCCTATTCTCTCAGCTTCTAGAAACCACCATTCTTTTATTTATTATTTTATTTCATTTTATTATTTTAGAGTGGCAGGACAAATTTTACAAAGCCCCTCAGCTCTAGTTCTCTCTCTTGTGTTGTTTCAGTTCCACAGAAATGCTGGGTCTGGCCAGCAGGAAAGAGAGACCTACTTGGTTGATAGGAGCATCTCTGCAGATGCTGGAGGGTTTGCCCACATGCTGGTAGTTACTACTCAACAAAGGATGCTCCACAGGGCTCATGTGGCCAGTAGCTCTTCTTTGCCTAACTATTGAGGTAAGCTCAGCAGGCCTTCATCATGGCTTGTCAATTCAGCCTCCCTAGGCTGCTGCACTGCCCACCATCATTTTGGCAGAGGAGATGACCTTCACAGAGCTGAGGGCAGCTCATTGCCTGTCCTCTTGGTCTCTGGGTTGTGGGAGTTAACTGTGGCATTTTTGTTCCTGGAAGCTCAACCCAGGTTGTCCTCCAGGCAGCGTATGATGGTACCCTCAGGCATAGTGCCCACAGAGAGAACTCTGCCAGTGCTGAATTGAGTCGTCTTGCTGTAGTACAAAATTGGCCAGTGCAGATCTCTTACTAACAATAGCTTCTCCTTCTGTTTAACCCCATGATCCTTCCCTGTGTCCTCGATGCAGACACTGTGCTTGGGGAAGTCTGTGTTGCCCTTGTGACATTTCCCACACATGTGGAACATGGAACTTCCTTTGTCCACAAATCCTGAGGCCAGTGGGAGGGTGTGATGTTAATTGTGACTGAGATAACTGGCTCCCACCAATCTGCTCTCTGACTCTGTGGATTTACTCAGTCTGGACATTTACCATAAATGGAATCTTAGACCAGGTGACCGTGTATGCCTGGTTTTTGTCATTTGGCTTAACATTTCCAGGGTGCATTCACATTGTAATATGTGTCAGCACTTCATTTCCTGTGTAATGGCTGTGTAATCTTCCATTATATGTACATGCCACATTTTTATTTTGGGTTTGTTGAGACGGGGTCTAACTTTAGCCCCAGCTGGCCTGGAACTTGCTATATAGATGAAGCTAGCCTCAACCTTACAAAGATGTACCCACCTCTGCCTCTGAATGCTGGAATTAAAGGCAAATGCCACAATTCCTGGCTCACATTTTATTTATTTACCCAAGGAAGGGATTTTTATTTATTTTTATTTATTACTGTATCATTATGCCTCTCTTTAAGGCATAATAATATATTTTATTTACTTATTTTTAAGTTGAATTTTTGTGATTTTTATACAATATAATTTGATGGCAATTAGATCTCCCTCATACACATCCCTGTTATTGCCCCCGCCCAACTTAATGTGCTCTATTAAATATATAATAAGGCCTATAGAATCTAATCTGTGTCCTCAAATGTCCTTTAGTGTGGGTTCATCCACTGGGGTCCAGTCAACCTACCAAGAATCCCATCCCCAAAACAGATGGTTTTTCCCTCTCCTAGCAGCCATTGGCTTCCAAGATTTCCTTGGGTTAGGTTGCTGTTTCCCACCCACCTCCCCATATTCTTGCTGGGATTTTGTCTGGTTTGAGCCTGCAAGGGACTTGTACATTCTGTCACCATTGTTGAGAGTTCATACGAGCAACTGACGAGCTGTCTGGAAAACTCTGTTTCCTTGTGGTCATCCAACCACATCTGACTCTTACAATCTTTCCACTGTAAGGAAGAGATTTCTTAAAGTTTGCTAATTAATCTTTCATTGTGGTAAACTACTTGCAACATTTACCATTTAAATCATCTTTAAGGTACAGTACAGTGACATTAACTGCATTCACATTGTTGTGCCACTGTCATCTATCTTCCTCTTCCTCTTCCTTTAAAAAAAATGTATCTGGCCGGGCTGGTGGCACATGCCTGTAGTCCCAGCACTTGGGAGGCAGAGGCAGGCAGATCTCTGTGAGTTCAAGGCCAGCCTGGTCTACATAGTAAGTTCCAAGACAGCTCGGGCTACAGGGAGACCCTGTCTCAAAAAGACCAAAAAAAAAAAAGTTAAAAATAATGACTGTGTGTGTGTGTGTGTGGTGTGGGTGCAGGTATATATGCCCATGCATGTTCTGTGGAGGTCAGAGGTTTCCCCTATTGCTCTCTACCTTGTTTATTTAAAAAGATCATTAAATTTTAAAAATTTATATTTTTATTTTATGTGGCTGTTTTGCCTGAATATATGTAAGTGCACCCATGTATTCAATGCTTGTAGAAGCCAGAAGAGAGCATTGAATCCTCTGTTAGCCACCCACCATGTAGATGCTGGGAACTAAATCTAGATCCTCTGGAAGAGCAGCCAGTGCTCTTAACCACGGAGCCATCTCTCCAGCCCAAATGCTTATTTAATTTACAAAAAAAAAAATTTGTGTGTGTGTGTGTGTGTGTGTGTGTGTGTGTGTGTGTGTGTGTATGTCTAAATGTTTATGTGAATGTATGCCATTTACATGCAGGTGCCTGCAGAGGCCAGAAGAGTACATCAGATCCCCTGGAGCTAGAGTTACAGGCAATTGTGAGCTGCTCCATGTGGGCACTGGGAGCTGAACTTGTCCCCTGGACAAGCAGCAAGCACTCTTAACTGCTGAGCCATTGCTTAAGCTCCAGCTCCACCTTATTTTATTTGTTAATTTTTGGAATTCTTGAGACATGGTCTCCCTGTAGCCCCAGCTGGCCTGGAACTCACTATGTAGACCAGGCTGGCCTTGAACTCACAGAGATCTACCTGCCTCTGCCTCCCAAGTGCTGGGATTAAAGGCATGCGCCACCACACCTGGCTGGAGATGGTATTTTAGTGATTGTTTTCTGGCTTTCTGCATCTTTTCTTACATGTGATGACATCACTCCCATCAGCCTCGCCTCTGCCTGCTCCTGACCCTCCATCCTCCTTTCACCCACTGTATTGGCAGCAAGAGCGTCATGGTGGTGTCTTCTGGCAGTCTCAGACAGCTGTTCCCTTAGGAAGGAATGAGTGAGAACTTGGCAACATTCAAGCCAGATTGTTTTCCTCTTCCCCTTCGTGTGTGTGTGTGTGTGTGTGTGTGTGTGTGTTTGTGTTGCTATCAGAAATGAGAGAGACCAGAAGGAAGAGAGAGAGGGATGGTCTGGAGGCGAGGCTCCTTGCCAGCCTGGGCAGGCGTGGGGCACATAGTTTTGCTCTAAGCAGCAGGAGCAGCCGCCTTAAAACAATTCCTGGAAATTAACTTTCTCCACCCCCCTTCTTTCCCTCCAAAAGTATAGACAAGACATTATCCCCAACAATTACAAAGGAAGGAAGGTAGGAGGGAAGAGAGATGTCAAGAAGCATAGATAAAGGCAGGCAGCTTCCCAGAGTTGTGACTGGGCAGGCAGGTGGATAGTGGAAAGGTCAAGGCTGAGGTATTTGGCAATGATTGTATTCCCAGCATGAACTTCTAGAAGGTTTCTGAGTGACAAGGTTTCAGAATCTCCATGTCTCTATATGTAAGGTGAGAATAACAATGTTTGCCTCACAGAAATACACGAGACAGTCAACATAAATTGGCAGCAGCATAAGGACACCCCTCTCTTGTGATGTCACCACCAGTTATTTTTCTCTAAATTAGATCAATACCAACTTCCTTTTTTATTTGCTTGCTTGGAGTTGCATTTTTTATGTAGAAGGGTTGGAGCATTCCTAATGCCATTATGAGTCACCAGAGGAGATACAAAGACAGTAATAGCTAACATTAATTGAATATTCACTATTTTGGGGACATAGTTGGACATTATGTCATCAAAACCTCAATTTATAGGGTGAATATTATTAGAGATGAGGAAATGATACACAGAGGGGTAAATAACTTGCCCAGGTCATACTGTAAATAGTTCAATAACCCTATATGGATTCTTGGCCAAGATTCCTTGCATATAGTGTCTTCAGACATGAGCCCTGGCAAAGTACTGTATACATACATTTTATTTGCTCTCCATGTGCATTTTTCTCAGAACTCAGGCCCTTCCTTAGATTCTCAAAGGGGTTCTATGATACCCAAAATGTTAAAAAGTGACTGAGACACCAGATAGGGTGAGAAAAATCGACTTGGGTATGTACTTCTGGATTGTGACTCAGCCCTGGAATTCTGGGAAATCATCATGACACTTGAGGGTTTGAGGTGGTATGGACAGGGGCCTGAGAAAGGGGAGGTGAATGCCTTTGTTTCCCTTCTATAAGATGAAGGACAACTGTTTACTTATTCTCAATGACTTCCTGAGTGGGAAAGGGAAGGTCCAACCTCAGTCTAAGGAAGAGGAAGCTTGGAAAGGAATGATAAGAGACCGAAAGGGTGCCAGATACCATGTTCTCCTCCCCGGCAATATTACCACCCAGAAATCTCCCAGCATGCTTTGCTTTTACATCCTCCTTCCTTTCCCATCCCTCCCCCTCTCCAGTCTCTGTCTCTTTTTCCGCTTCCCACACCTCCGGAATCTTTCACCTCCCCCAGGGGCTCTGTGAATGTGACAGTCCCCTGCTGACTCCACATCTTTGCAGTTCCTGCTAACTTTCCTTGAGCACATAATG